ACGGGCTGCCGCTGTTGATGGTCCATTTATTCTAATGAGCTTTGTAGGCCGGTACCCGCCAGGCCCTTTGAAAGGGAGGGGGAGGCCCAGCAGCAGTGCCCGCTGAATTGCACTTACAATCAGCAAGAGTCTTCTTTTGAAGCATGAGGTAGATATACATCATAGAAAAGACAAGGACACAGAGACAGAGACAGTTAAGGGGTAGGTAGGGAGGACATACAATCTTCTTTCAAAAAATATGCAGAACGTAGTGCCAGTCCTACACAATGTATGGCATGTTGACAGTCAACCAACAGCTGCCCAATGTGAAAATATTTGAACAGGCAAGAGCTTTGATTAGACAGGTAGATCAACATAACAAGCAAAGTAGAGTGAAGTTTATACATTGCCAAAATAAAGTTTACAACGAGCAGTCTTTTTTATCTTATCTTATTTTAGTAGTTCCACTGTTGGCGAGCTTTATGAAAATATGATTTGATGATAAGGCAAGCAAATATTTATAAGTCTATCTGAATCAGAAAGCCAGCAGTATAGGAAGTATGATATTTAAGTAAAAAAACAACAACAACAACTATGTAAAAGGAGTGAATTTTTGCTTTCACTCTTCAGGGCAGGGTGTCATTGGGGGTGATACATTTTCTTGGAAGGCATCAGAAGAGTTTTGTCCAATTGTGATTGAGGACAATGTTTTCAAGCTAATTGACAAATTTTGAATTAACACAATGCTGGGCTGGATCATAACAATTTAACAGTTTTTTTTAAAAAACCTCAAATATGAATGTTTTCATCTTTTAAACACATAAACTTAAACACATATTTAAACAGAGAAACGGTGGGGCTAGGGGGCTGGAAATTATAAACCTAAACATGACCCTGGTAAATTGTCATACATATTAATCGAGTTAAAAACGTTGAATTCATTAAAGAAGGCTTGTAAGAAAAATCAATTTGGCTTCTGCAAGCAGATATTACAAGGATTATAGTTGAGTATCCACAAAAGTTCTGACAAAATCCCTGCAAAATACCATACCAAGTTTTAAAATGTGTTAGTGTGGCAAAATATATTCACAAGAAGCACTGCTACATAACATTAAATAGTATACAAGAACCATCATCATAAAAAAACAACTTTTAGTAAATAATGAATGGCACCATGATGCAAAGCTTATATCTGTAGCAGAAAAACAAACTTCAATGACTGTGGAAAAACACCACTGTTCAATCTTGTGGCACGGCTATCTGCTAGAAAATACTCTTTCTTATTTGGTGTCTAGTTTATAGTAGTAGTTGCTCCCTTCTTCAATATTGCTAACATCAGGACTTTTATAATTCAGTTGAAATATACAACAGTTCACTGGACTAAATATACACTTTCTATTACAACCCTCCTCTAATTGATTCTCTCTGATGGACTGAAACTTCAACTCCCAGAATTCCCAGTCAACATACCAGGCTGGCTGAAAATCCTGGAAAACGCTGTTCAAACACATCTGAAGGACTGAAGATTAAGGAAGGGAGCTTCACTGTCCAATTAACAATATAAGAATTTTCTATTAACTCAAGTTGTTAACCAAGGGCGAATAATAAAGACACTATGTAATAAGCTGAGCTTTCTGTACTATGATGAATTAAGTGCAGCAAGGTTGCTCTATTCATTCTACTTTAATCTTTTATATAAGTCCAGAAAAATGTAACTTCTCTACTTGTAAAAATGGAATTAATTTGTATGTCAGGAATTATCAATCTACATTTTTAGAGTAGTTTTCAATAGAAATATTCATAATGCAGCATCTTTCTCAAAAAAATAAACATTTAAGCATTTTACACAAAATGTTTAACCGTTTACTCCAATAACCAAATTTATAATATTTCCTATACTTCTACTTTTTTTAATCTAAAGAATTAAAATAGGGGAAATAAATCTTATACAAAGCCACAGAATTCACAGTAACCGAACTTACCCATTTTATATAAAGCCACTTATATTTAAATATATGTATTTATATATATTTATATTTTATGCTCACATTTAATATAATAGAGCTATGATTGATTTAAAGATTCTAGTCTTCTTTGAAGACATTTTAAAGGTTTTCATACATAGAATATGATTGCATAATACATTCAGCTGAAGGTTAGGCAAAGCGCATTCTTTTTAAATATACAGGTAGCATATACTGGCTGTCCAGACACCTCCCGCCAATCCAGTCCTGGCAAAAACCTATTTATATAAATATGTCTGATTTCTTTTAAATACATTCCAAATCTGCCAAAATCCTCACATTTGGTGTCTTCTGCACCAGAATTTTATTTTAGCATTCACTTTAATTTGTCTTTTTAAAAAGTTTGTATCTTGGATTTTAATTATGACTAGCAGTCTTGAGTATTTGTTGGAACAAAATGAACGAAGTAAGCTCCACACTTTGTATCCCCGTTTCTAGCGTACATTGCTATGCAGGAAGCTAAAAACAAGGTTAAATGAAATGCAACCAAAGGACTGGTCCTCTGCTGGGCACTGACCTGGGAATATGCTCCTGGAGCTGGGCATTAATGATGCAAACAATTAAAAATGTTGACAATCCACCAGGTGAGAATATTCTCCCCTAGGGGGTGAAAAGCTACACCTGCCTCTGTCTGCTTCTTGAGCTACTATGCTATTTAAAAAATGGGATCAGAACTGGCTGCTGTAATGGGACTTTTTGGAGTCAGCTGGCAGTTTTTTTGTGTCACAAAAATAGTTTTAATGGGATGGAGAGGTGGAGGTGTAAATCCCAGTTTTCCTTGCACTCTACTATGAGCAAAACTCAGCCAGATAATGTGCATTCAACCATTCCTGACCCCCTCTGAAATTCTAGCACAGTTACACCCAAACTAGCTAAGCAATCCTTCCCAACATAGAGATCACTACTAATCTACAGGGCTCCTACAAGCCTCTAGTGAGGGCACCAAACAAACAACAAACTATGAATGGATACAGGTAGCCCTCGCTTACTGACTGCCTCGTTTAACGACTGTTCAAAGTTACAACAGTGTTAAAAAAATAGCTTTGTGACCAATCCTTGCATTTATAACTGTCACAGTGTCCTGCAGTCACATGATCACCATTTGTGTGCTTCGCAACTGGTTTGCAACAAGTAGTCTTAACAGAGAGAGCAGAAGTAAAATCATAAGTTGCAGTCACGTGATGTCTTGCTTAATGGCCGCAGCACTTAGCAATGGAGTTGCATTTGTGGTTGCTAAGCGAGTACTACCTATATGTATTTTTTAACAGCCAAAATCTCAGGAGATCAGCTAATCTCACAAGATTTTTGTTTCCTCATTCAAAATCTCATAAGATTTCAGATGGGATTACCATAATTGCACAATTTCTACCATTTTAAAGCTTTCAGTGGTGGTAGTGATGATAATGATGATAACAGTGAACTGGTTCACATAGAAAAGGTTAGCAACTGCTAGTCTAACAGTTCATGTTGAAATGGGGGAGTGTTACAGGACTTTCTGTTCAACACATATTTAAATACCTCAGTTAAGATAATAATCTATGTCTCATATTCATCTTGGTTCCAATTATCCACCAACATGACTATGCAAACTGAATGTGTATCATCTAGCTTAAATGGGCACAATTCTTGATTCTCTTGCAACTGACCAGTATGTTGCTCTAGTAAAAATTCAGCTACAGCAATATGAAAAAGCAGAAGTTATAAGAATGATACTTATAATAATCTGCAAAAGAACAATTGTGCTTATTTTGCTTTCAGTTTTCAAAGTGGTAAGATAATATTCTTCCAATTTCATACCACTTCAAGTGTTACTTTGATGTATTTCCAATTGTGATGCTGAGATGAGTTGGAATCAAAACATAAGAAGGCTTTTACAGGAGGCATGTCGTTGCTATACATGCTATAAGTCATAAACAATACCATGACTCAATGGTTGTCTCCACTGAGCACTAAACAAATGGAAAAAAGTAAAATTGTGGAAAGCTGGATCCATAATACTTGATCCCAGTGTTTTTCAATAATAACCAAAAGAAAAAAAGCTAGCTATTATTAATGCAGAACATTCTTATGGGGCACAGAATACAATTTGAATATTAAACTTGTTTATACTTTAAAAGTCAGCAACATGTACTTAATGGGTCATGTTAAGCATGGACACAAGTATTCTACAAGCATTTTTAGATTACTTTGAGACCACAAATCCAATCCAATCAAAACTGATGTCTCCACAATAGATAGTACTGAAAATAATTTAAAAACATCTAACACCTGTCTCAGTGACCATTTATGGTCTTCCCTCCTTTGGTGAAGCATATTCAGGCATGCCTAAGTTCAAAATTGGCCAATGAGATAACCTGATCCTGAACCTCTAAGTGCAATCATAGTACAACCCACCCACCCCCTTCCAGAATATAGCTTCATGAACACATCACTGGGCACAGTGCTTGCAGAAAAAACAAGATTTCCTGATCCACTGTAAAAGTTGGAGGCCATTCTTCACATTCACTCAGTGGAAGTGCATCTATGAAGCAATGCCTAACACAGCAGTGGGTGCGGAGACTGTTACGTGTGCAAGTACACCTTACATAAAGCAAGGCTCTGAGACAGGCTGTGTGATGGCTGACAGGCAAATTGCCACAAGACAAGGAGCAGGTGAAAGCAATGCAGGATACAAAGGGCATCTTGTAAAGAAATCTTAGGTTACAAGGGTGAGACTAGCCGGTCAGTCCTGAAAATTGATTGGTACAGGTAGTCCCCAGTTTAAGAATGAGTTCCGTTCCCAAAGTCCGTCCTTAAGTCGAATTTCTTAACCCATGGTAAAAACACCCAGTTTAAGGACAACCCATAGTTAAGAACGGAGCCTACTGTAGCAAAATTTGAATTCAATACACAGTGATTCGAGTTAAATACACATTGGTTTGAGTTCATTACACAATACTACTTATACAGTATTATACAATAATACTGTTCTGGATTACATACAAATTCAACTTAAGGACAGTTGAATGGAACTCATTCTTAAACTGGGGACTATCTGTAATTCTCAGAAAGGGGAAAAGAAATGGAACAACCCTGAAAGCAACCCTATGAATATATGCAGGCTTTTGGATATGTAAGGAAGGAAGGATGAGTAATTAGAAATATCTAACCAGCATGTATTTTTAGCCCCCTGTATGCTGCTTTAGTTTCAAAGGCTTCAGTTGATACACATGGCTTAAATGGAGAACTGTACAACAAGAGGCAAAAGGCTTTCCGAAGTCAAGCTCAACCATCACACAGCCAATCAGTGACATAGCTATGGTGACCTGTGATGTGTATTTGAAGAAATCAGTTTCAAATTTTCCATTTGAAACCACCTAGCTTTTGTGCCCAGTGGGGTGGGGGAGTGAGGGAGGTTAGGAGAAACAAAACCCATTCCCCAGCTTATGAGACTGAAATCTCTTTCCCGACACCGTCCGTCTCCGGGATGTTTGCAGAACCCAGCCCTGGGATTCTGTGGAGACAAAGAAGCATTTACGGGGGGGGGAAAACAGTCATGTGTTTCACATTGAGAGCGTGTGGACCTTTGTACCCAGTCCACAGCTGTACAAAAAGAGTAGCTCTGTCATGTGTAGCCTTAGCATGCTGCAAGAGATTCGAAGACCACATTTACCCAGGCAAAGCAAAAAAGAAGGAAATTCCTCCTCATTTTGCCAAAGAATCCAAACCAATGGAAGCAAAGGGCAACAAACAGCTGTTTCTGAACCTCTGGTCTCCTACGTTGCTGCATGCATTTCCATCCTGCGTTAGGCCGTGCTGCTGCTGGAACAGGGGGTGCTTTGTGTGCTGCCAATACTGTGGCCTGCACTGCTGTTTTCGGAGGGTGGTGGCGATGTGGGAACCTGCTGTCTTCCTGCTGGTTCTCCTGGAGGAGAGGAAGAAACAAACAAAAAGCAAGCTCTGAGTTACTGCTACTGCCCTCGCAATGTCCTGGCCACCCTGAGAAAGAAAGAAGGAAGGGAGGGGAGGGGGGGGGGGAGGGGGGGGGGGAGGGGG